AGTCCACAAAATGCACCAATGCTCAAGATCTCATGCAAGGGGGTGAATGGGAGTGTTTAAGCTTGCAACTATATGGTTCTACAGCCCTAAAAATAACAAAAAATGGTCTTCAAATGGTTTGGAGTAGGACATAGTCGCTAGAACCTAATATCATAAATTTGACTAATTATGATTTTTTTTTAAAAATTTTGACTGTCTTGTTTTTTTTATCAGATTTGACCTTTTAGATCGCCTATGACTGACAACGACCACCTAGGACCGCCTACAGCCGCTCAGGACCGAGTCCGCCTAACTCGACAGACTAACCTAGGACCGCCTACACCCGCTCAGGACCGAGTCCGCCTAATTCGACAGACTAAAATCGTAGACAATAAGAGGCCGCCTAGATCGATTTTTACAAAACCCATGTTGCCTACACCGGTAAAAAAGATAAAGTACGTTGGTACTATGAATTAAAAATAATATATATTGCTATAATGGTTAAGTATTAATAGATATAGTTTGTTTAATCATTATATGTGTTTTTTATTAACTTTTTAGGTTTGGGAGAGTTGCAAAGGGAAACTAAACGAAAAGCACTCTAATTTACTCAAGATCATATTTTAAGGGAAATGGAAATGAAAAGAAAAAGCACATGAAGGTATCCAAGTTTAAATATCATAACTTATGACACGATTTTGTAACACTCCTGTTAATCCACCAAACTGATCATTTTAGTTTTATGTTTGTTTGTTTATGCATTTGTTGTAAATGTATCTTTATCATATTTGTAATTTATACATTTGTTAAAACTTTTGTATTGGATAATTTTTTGATTTATTTTTATTATCCTTGTGGTTGAATATGTATAACATGAGTTATTATTGTATAGGACTTTTTCTTCACTTTGGACGGATATAACATGGATTTGTTCGTATTTAATTAAACTACATACCAAAGGGTAATGATATCATGATGTTTGAAAATGTATCACTCCCTTTTAATTGATGGTTCTAGTCACTTTGTGGACCAATGAATAGTTTTGGAATACGATTTAAAAGATGTCTTTGTGTAACCCTTCAAAAACAAATTAATAATTAAAATAAACTAAAAAATAAAAAACTATGTATTATGATGAGAAATTTGCAGCTAAAAACTCTAATAGATTCAAATTGTATTCCATCTTAACGGTCAAAACCGACTTCTACGGGTATTTACTATTTAGTAAAATATTTAACACAAACCGGCCTTTTAGAACTGCATCGGTACGGATCAAAATTTTCTTTTGGAGAAGTGTGAAAGTATGAGTTATTTGTAAAAGTAGGTTGGTTTTGAAAAACTATTATAGAAATATGTTAGTTTTAGAATCTATTGTAGAAATAGATTGGTTTGAATAAGGGCCTACCATTCCAATCAATTCTTTCCGAAAAATAAATGTATATTTTTATTTTTAACACTTCAACTTTAATATTTTTTTTAATTATATTTTACAATTGAACAATCCATTTTTTTACCCTTGTTAAATATTATACATAGATTACTTTATTCTATAATATATGATTATATCTTATGTATTATTATTTACGAATTATACCTTTAAATAGAGTTTATAAAGACCTTCAAATAGATACTAATACTGAATATTTTACAACAGTATGAAATTACAAGAACAATTAAAAACGATATTACAATACGAATTAAGCGTAATATTACAATACAAGCTAAACGGTAACTTAAACATTAATTGAAAATGTTACAAAGTTCACGTCTCATTGAATCTTTGCAAGGAATTTGGACAATTTCTTCTATTATGACCAGTTTGGTGACATAGTCTATATTTACGAGGTTCGTTGGGATGAGGAATGTCCATCTCATTATGAAATCGATTTGCACGCCTCTGGCTTCTATGCATAGAAAGTTTCGAGTTATCTGCTTTAATCTTCCAATCCGACTCTAACCAATAATCAACATGAGAAAGTGGGATAAAAGCCGACGTATATTGTTGTTTATACGTCATAGTAGTGTACACAGTATTAACAATAGAAATAGGGTTATCCCCTCTATAACCGCAAACTACAATAGTGTGCGAACGTGGAAATCTTTCCATTTGCCACTTACCACATGTGCATGTTTGTTGAAAATAATGGACAGTGTATGTATTTCTCCCTTTGCCATTTATCTGTAACTTTGTGACAATTCTGTAGACACCTTCACTGTAGTCAAACTCGGTTAATGTATGGCTTTGTGCACAAGTTTCTCGCTTTCGAAAGAGACGCCACATACATGATGGTAGAGGTGTATTGCAATTCATTGCAATATCACTATACTTTCTAAAAAGTTGTACAGTTCTATTGAATGTAAGGTCAATACATGCCCTGGTCGGTAACTGTCTTGCTCCGCGAAGTGCATTGTTCAGACTCTCAGAGATATTTGTTGTCAAGACACCCCATCAACGATTGTCATCATATAAAAACACCATTGGCTTCTTTTAATTTCCTTTAAATACTGCCAAGTTTCAAGATTGATATTTTTTATTTCATTCATATACATAACAAACTTTCTTCTTTGTGTGGTGCTACCAATAGACCAACAAAGCTTTTTAAGGCGCACATTCTTGTACCTTTTCATGAAAATACTTCTAATGTGTCGAAGACAAAAGCGATGGTATGCTAATGGCTCTTGCCATTCTGGTAGATTTTCCATTGCATGAATTATTCCTTTGTGCCTGTCTGAAACAACACATAATTGTCTGTTTTGAACAACAAAATGTCTGAGTTGGTAAAAAAAACCAACCCCAACTATGTGAACTCTCTTCATCAACGATAGCATACGCAACACGCAATATACTATTGTTTGCATCTTTTGTGACAGCAACAAGCATTTTTCCTCTATATGAACCCTTCAAATGGCAGCCATCTACTGAAATAACAGGTCGACATAGACAAAACGCATCAATAGCTGGTCCAAAAGCCCAAAAAACATATTTGAATGTCGCTACATATGATGATGAGCTATTTGGACAATAAAAACCACTTCACAACTGTATCAGGATTTGAAGCCTGCAATGCTGCAATGTGCTTGGGCAACTCATCAAAGTTACTCTCCCAAGTTCCATAAATACTCTCTATGGCTTTTCGCCTACCATGCCATGCCTTATCATAAGAAACATCAACATTCAGACTATTTTTAATATCTGATTGTATATGTTTCACTGGATAAGCAACATCCTTTTCAATTGAATGGAGGATATACAAGGCAATAGTTACAGAGTTTAGATTTTTGTTATTATTGCCGGTACATGATCCAAAACAATTGTGTGCATCCACCCAACGTGTAATCTTCCATATGTTTTGATTTTTCTTCTTAACTGCACGAACATACCATGCACAACGGTGCGTACAGTACACACTACCAGAACTTTCTTCTTCATTTCCTAGAGTCCTACACTTTGCTACCCACAAGTTAGGCTTACTATCATACACTTTGAACTCTCTATTTTGGTTGATAGACCAAAGTGTCACTGCCTTTTTTACTTGCAACTTACTTTCAAATTGCATTCATAACTTTATTTTATTTTCTGACTCCTTCCAAACATCTATTTGAATGCGGTCTTCCAAACCAGCTATGTCACCGTCTCCTATATCTCCAACATCACTCGTAAAGTTCATAACTGGAGTTTCACACACACCATCATCATCAGAATCTTCCCCAACACATAATGACTCGCTACTATTATCTTCACTATATAATGAGTTGGCTTCATCACAATCTCCCTCAAATGTACCACAATCAGGCAAAGGAAATGGTACATTTGATGGATTGGGCTCCAACACCTCAAACTTTTGAAGGAGATCTACAAAACTAGTACTTGTAGGCGACATTATTTTTTCAACTTCAATTAAAACTTGACCCCACTAATTTGCAACATTCTCAGCCAAATAATACATTACGTATAAACTTGAATCATTTATCACCCGTGAAATAGTGGAATGCCCTCCAAATTGATAGCATAATGAGATATCCAACTTATGTGATGCTTTTTCAACTCCAACATGTACATAACATAAATCTTTAAATTCTTCATATCCCATTTTGTGCCTAACAATATTTGAAGTAGAAAAATTGAATGGTCTCCCTTTATGATACCATTCTCATATTTAATATTACCAACCCAGTATAAATTAATCATAAACGGACGATCAAGAGTCATAATGATATATAACAAAATATAACTGCAGAATAAATCAAAATTTAAAAAAGAAACTATTATTAAATATATGACATAAAGCCAATAATATGTACCTTGTTATGGATGAACGAATGTTGAAGAAAAAGAAGAAGGAAATATTTAAGTTCAAGAATTGTAAGAGAAATTCATTAGCTAGATTGGAAGAGATGAAAAACTATTGATTATAAGAAAGAGGATTTTAATACAAAAAAAGTGAGATGATTTGACGATTCACTCAATTATTTCTAGTGAGTTTACACCTTATTTTGTTAGATTTGCTTTTCGGAATTCTGTGGTAATAGCTTTTCCATACTATTACCACCGACAGAATTAGTAGTCCGATTGTTGCCATTTTTCTAATAGTGTCGGTGGCCTAAAACCTTGTAATCTTGGTTATATCATTAGTCGCAAAGTTACTTTTATTGACTTAGTTAACATTTTAAACTATGTATTTTAGATGTAGCAACCTAAATATATCATAATGATACGTGTTCTAGATTTTACTGGTTGTACAACCCTTCTTGCATTCCGTAAGATTTATGAGTGTAAAGTTCCGCATCTACAGGTAATATTTTGTTGTTACTAATTAAAACATTCAAAATTATAAGCGCTATCATATCAAACCAACGGAACATATAAAGTACACAATGAATAATAAATACCAACTTGAAAAGATAATTGCACACAAATAATTTTGAATAGAAGCTTTAAATTAAAGAAGCCTATGAATGAAATCAAACGATTACGCCAACACCAATTGTACACCTTTTTTGTCATTGAAGTCGTAGTAACTTTAGAACTTGGCTTGTAGCTGATCCACCACACTCTTATCCACTTGGAATGCCCTGGCTAGGATATCCCATGGAATTGAAGGATTTGCACCGAAAACAGCATTTGCAATTGTTATAGCACCTGGGTTTTGACTACTTAATGCAGCAATAACAACCGCATTTCCATTACCTACATTCCGCTGGAAATGAACAAGTCCCACAGGGAACACAAAAACATCACCCTTTTGCAACACCTTGGTGATAAAGCGGTTATCGGGATTAGAAGTGACAAATCCAACTTGTAGAGTCCCTTCAAGAACTGTAAGAATCTCTGTGGCTCTTGGGTGGGTGTGAGGAGGATTAAGTCCCCATGGTGCATAGTCAATTCGAACCATTGAGATGCCTAAAGTGTTTAGCCCTGGCAACTGAGTCGCAAAGACTGGGGTCACCTTTGATCCCAATTGGTTTGATGTGTTACCCCTGAGGTGTAGCCCACTAAAGAAGAAATCAGCTGCTTGAACTTGCATTGGGTTCTTGCATGTTACTGATGGGTTTTGAGCATTCTAACACTTCCTAAGTGTACATGCAACCCTAATAACCTTGGATCTATGTTTGTCTAATTTGTCATGCAAAGTTGATTTCCAAGGTTATATTCCTATCTAGCATACATGGGGAACAATTTTAACATAAAGTATAGATAGAATAACTTACCTTGTTGTTGCTTGTGTTCCTTGAAACCTTGTGAGCCTAGCACCCCAAGTGTGATGCCTCAAATGCTTCACACAACACCAAATGCTCTTGGAAGAACTTATGAGAGAATACTCACTTCACAAAATCGGCCAAGCCCTCTAATATTCTTAGTGTGTATGTGTAACCGATTTGGGAGGAGATCATATTACTTATATAGTGTTGACACATCTAGGGTTAAACCCTAATGTGTCATGACTCTTCATTTCCATGACCCATGGGTTTGTAACTCCCATGGAGCATCCATGGAGCATCCTATGGGTGGAACCCAACTTGATGATCCATGGAGCCTTTTAGCCCACTATACAAGATATGGATGATTTACTTAATCAACCCATATATTTAATTAGTTATCTTTTGATCACTTAATTAATTCTAAATTAATTCTTGATCAAACTAATCAAATAATATTATTAATATATTAGAACTTATAATATATTAATAATCTCCAAGCGTTATTTCTCTCATTTAGTCTATCCAATTGCATGGTGCCATGCAACCCAAATGGACCATGCCGGGTCGGGTCAAGTACATACCAGAAATAGTTATGGACTTAGACACCTTATCCAACAGTCTCCCACTTGGATAAGTCTAGTAACTATTACTGCAAGTATGACTTCAGGAACCGATCGGCAATCGTAGCTCTTTACAAGGTTTCTCGAAACTTGAGAAGATGATGGTACGCCATTTAAGATAAGTGATCATATAATCCTCTGTTCTAGATATCAGTCGGACAAATACATGGAACAATGTCTTACTTATTGTCCAACATTTGTTTCCCGATTTCCGATTTGTTTGACAAAGAACTTCATTGAACACATCAATTTAGTTCTGACCGGGCCCGGTACATAGGTCAAAACAAAATCATCGAGGGGCCCAGATATCAGCTTCTAATCCAAGAAGGAACAGATAAACTTCGACTCATATGTTTGTTCTACTACTCATTGAATTACACATAAGAGCACGATTTTATAACATCGAGTTACCAATGCGTTTTTCGTACAATCAATGCATAACCAACTCGTAAGTAACAAATCATATCTCTAGGTTTAAAGACTTATATGATATTACCGTCTCACGATCACTCGAGATAGAATTCCATGAAGTGATTCCAGTGAGCGTGGGTTGAGTCCAATGCTCAGAACTTATGAGCACTCATGATTGTTGTAGCCTTGTCCCAGACCTCTACAACCAAACATGACAGTCTTGATTCATACCTACTTCCGACATATGACCGACTGTGGAGGTTTGAATAATATGTTATACCAAACAAAATTATTCTGGAAGTCAAAACATGCAAAAGAAATATAGTAAACGATCGACAAGAGATAGCAACACTTTACTCATAAATAAAACACTTTTATTCATCATCAAATGTCAATTACACTTTACAAATTTCGAGATTATCTAACTACTAAATCTAATATCATCCTTCAGCCCTATGCTCCGAGCATGCTGGAGATGCTTAACCCGAGTCAGTCCCTTCGTGAGGGGATCTGCCGGATTCTCATCTGATGATACCCTCTTTGCCACGAGGAGTCCTTCTTCGATCCGATGTCTGATGAAATGGTATTTTCTGTCGATGTGTCTGGATCTCCCGTGATCCCTTGGTTCCTTGGCTAAGGCAACAGCACTTTCACTATCACAGAAAATTTCCATCGGCTCTTTAATAGCTGGTACAACTCCAAGGTCTCCAATGAAGTTCCTCAGCCATAACGCCTCCTTTGCCGCTTCGCTAGCTGCAATATACTCTGATTCACAAGTAGAATCTGCCACTGTCTCTTGCTTGGAACTCTTCCAAGAAATTGCTCCTCCATTTAGGGTAAAGACCCAGCCCGACTGAGAGCGGAAGTTATCCCTATCAGTCTGGAAGCTAGCATCACTATACCCTACAACTCTCAAGTCATCACTCCCACCGAGGGTAAGGACCCAGTCCTTAGTCCTTCGTAGGTACTTGAGAATATTCTTTACCGCAGTCCAGTGTGCCTTGCCAGGGTTCCCCTGAAACCTGCTAACCATGCTCAAGGCAAAGGCTACATCAGGTCGAGTACACGTCATAGCATACATGATCGAACCTACAGCCGAAGCATAAGGTATCGACTCATTTCTGCTATCTCAGCCTCAGTGCTAGGGCTTTGTGTCTTACTCAGCTTGGCGCTACTCTGGATGGGCAACTCTCCTTTCTTGGAGTCTTGCATTCTGAATCTCTTCAGAATCTTCTCCAAGTAGGTACTTTGACTAAGTCCAATTAGTCTTTTACTCCGATCTCTCAAGATCCTTATCCCCAAAATATAGGCAGCTTCACCAAGGTCCTTCATAGCGAAACACTTTCCAAGCCAGGACTTTACTTCCTGCAGGGTTGGAATGTCGTTTCCTATGAGTAGTATGTCATCCACATACAATACCAAAAAGCTAACTATACTCCCACTAGCCTTGACATATACACAAGATTCATCTTCACTCCTAGAAAAGCCAAATTCCTTGACCTTTTCATCAAAGCAAAGATTCCATCTGCGAGGTGCTTGCTTTAATCCATAAATGGATTTCTCAAGCTTACACACTCTATTAGGGTACTCGTTACTGACAAAACCCTCTGGCTGACTCATGTAAACATCTTCAGCCAACTTCCATTAAGGAAAGCGGTTTTGACATCCATTTGCCAAATTTCATAGTCATGAAATGCGGCTATGGCTAACAGAACCCGAATAGACTTAATCTTGGCTACCGGAGAAAAGGTCTCATCATAGTCCACTCCAGGAATTTGAGAGAAGCCCTTTGCAACCAGTCTAGCCTTATAAGTGTGTACTTTACCATCCATGTCGGTCTTCTTCTTGAAGACCCATTTGCACCCTACAGTCTTTCGACCTGGTACATTCTCAACCAAGTTCCAAACTTGATTGTCATACATGGATTGTATCTCGCTATCCATAGCCTCTTTCCATTTGGCAGACTCGGGGCCCGCCATGGCTTCCTCGTAGCTGTTAGGGTCATCTTGACTTACTAGTGTCTCATCACTAATAAGTGTCTCACCTTCTGCAGTAATATGGAATCCATAGTAATGCTCAGGTGCACTCCTAACTCTCGTGGAACGCCTCAGAGGTACAGATTCGTCAATTGGCTCAACAGGAGTTTCCTCCTCAAGTTGAGGGCTAGAGTTTGAAGTTCCTTCACCACTTGACTCTTGAATTTCTTCAAGATCAACTTGCCTCCCACTGTCTCCTTGGCTTATAAACTCTCTTTCTCGAAAGACTCCTCTTCTTGCTACAAAGACCACATTGTCACTAGGTCTGTAGAAGAGGTAACCAAAGGATTGCTGTGGGTAGCCGATGAAAATACACCTCTCGCTTCGGGGTTCGAGCTTATCATGAGTCTCGCGTCTCACGAAAGCCTCGCAGCCCCAAATCTTGATGTGGTCTAGTTTAGGTACTTTACCAGTCCACATCTCGTGAGGAGTTTTGGCAACTTTCTTTGTAGGGACTAGATTAAGGATATGGGCGGCAGTCTCTAAGGCATACCCCCAGAATGAGATTGGTAGCGAAGCTCGACTCATCATGGAACGAACCATGTCCAACAAGGTTCGATTACGCCTCTCAGCCACACCATTCAACTGCGGTGTCCTGGGAGGTGTCAATTGTGAGACAATCCCACATTCCTTTAGATAGTCGAGGAACTCTGAACTAAGATACTCACCACCTCGATCGGATCGAAGCATCTTAATGTTCCTGCCCAATTGATTCTCGACTTCCTGTTTAAATTCCTTAAACTTCTCGAAAGTCTCTGACTTATGCTTGATTAAGTAGACATATCCATATCTACTGTAATCATCGGTAAAAGTCAAATAATAACGATTAGCATCCCTTGTGGCATGTTTGAATGGTCCACACACATCCGTGTGTATAAGGTCCAACAAACCTTCACCCCTTTCACATGAGCCTGTGAAGGGTGACTTTGTCATTTTTCCAAGTAAGCATGATTCGCAACTATCATTTGACTTTAGGTCAAACGACTCCAAGACTCCATCCTTTTGGAGTTGGCCTATGCGTTTCTTGCTTATATGTCCAAGACGACAATGCCATAATGATGCTTTATCCAAGTTATTATTATTAGTAGAATCAATACACAAAACATTATTTCCTAAGTTATCTACAATAGATACAGCTTCATACACACCATCACAAGGTAATGCTTTAAAATAAAGTACATTATTAAAGAAAGCATTAATCGAACCAACTTCATTATCAAACGAAAAGGTGAAACCTTGTTTGTACAATGCATGAAAGGAAATAATATTTCTTGCCATTTCTGGCGAATAACAACATTTATTCAAATCTAAATTTAACCCACTACTTAGCGATAAAGTATAAACTCCAATCTTGGTGACAGGTGTAACTTTCCTATTCCCCATGATTAAGTTTATTCTTCCTTGCTCCACATTCTCACTTCTTCCTAGTCCCTGCAAGTCACAACAAATATGAATACCGCAACCTGTATCAAGGACCCAAGATTTCGAATGGGGTGAGTTATTAGAAATGATAGTGTAAATACCTGCATGGTTGGGTTTGACTTTCCCATCCTTTACATCTTGCTGGTACTTTGGGCAGTTCCGCTTCCAATGAGCTTTTTCATGGCAATAGAAGCATTCAGCCTCTTTTGGGTCAGAAGAAGGAGTAATGAAACCTTTCTTGGTTCCACTTGAAGAAGAGCCATCAAGGGTCCGAGCCTTGGTACCCTTTGAAGATCTCTTTCTCTTCCTCCCTCGACTTTGCCCGATTGCCAAGAC